TCCCCGGATAAGCCGCTTTCTCCAGGTCGCTGCTCTCGGCGCTTGCACCCCTACCTCCCCACCGCCGGCGTGAGCGGGGCCGAGTCTGGGGCGGTAGCTCCTGCGTGCCTCTCAGACGAGGGCCAGCGCCCCTGATCCGGTCGCCGCGTTTGCTTCCTGCCGTTTCCGGTGCCGTCTGAGGGCTGTCTGCTCAGCCCGCTCCTTCCCGCTCCTTTCCCTCCTCTCAGAGCTGCACGAAGAACCTGAGCGAGGTCAGGGACACAGCCCCGAATCCAGGAGGCTTTGCCAACAGTCACCGTGCGTGGGCGCTGGAGTCCTTTTACCAGCTACGTGTCACCAGGACAAGGACACGGGTTTCTGCGAAGGCATGCACAAGGCCCTCGCAGTGCAGGCGGTCGACCCCGTTCTCTCTCCCTGGCATGGCTGTGCGATCTGCACGGTCTCTCATTAGCAGAGTCAGTCCAGGTCCTGTGGCTGCTGTGTGCACGGTACACGGTTTTCCATCCTTTTACTCTCAGCCTGGTGGTGTCTTTGAATCTGAGTGCGTCTCCTGTCGGCAGCATGGACAGATCTGGCTTTCACTGTTGCTTGGATTGTTTTGGTTGGTTTGAATCCAGTCTGACCTTCCCTGCCCTCTGATTGGATTGTTTCATTCATTCACGGTTAATGTCCCTACATGGGGACATGGTCGCATTTTCATGTGCCTTTGTACTTCTTCTCTGTCTCGTGTCTTTTTGGTCTTCTGTTTCTCCTTTATGGCTTTATTTTGCATGAAGTAAATCTTTGCTATTCTCACATTTTAATGGAATGGTTTTTCAGTATTAATTTTTTTTTCTTAGTGGTTTCCCTAGGACTTACAGGAGGTGCCCTGCCTTATCAGAATCCACTTCGTATTTCATATTCGGTGCCGGCGGGATAGAGAAACATTCCTCCTAGAGAACTCCCTCCCCTCCTCCCTTTGCTGTGCTATTATTTACACACGTATAACGTTTGTATATGTTCCAAACCCAGCGATGTATTGTTATGATTATCACGTTATATAATCTAACGTCTTTTAAAGAGACGAAGACAGGACAGCAGGTGTGTATCGGCAGTTTGTTTGGAACTGTCTTATTTACCATTTCTGGTTCTCTTCCTTCCTTTCTGTGGTCATCATCCGGCATCATCTCCCTGCTCCAATACACCGTTGTCCCTCCTCCCACCCACTTTTGTGCTTTTATTGTCAAATATATTACATTTCTATATGTTACAGACCCAACAATACAATTATATACATATTGTTTTAGGCAGCTGATTTTTAAATCAATTAAGAAAGGAGGAAAAGAATGCAATTATTCTGTCTTTTATAATTACCTAAGTAATTACCTTCACTGGTGTTCACTGTTTTGTGTGTGTGTGGATTTGAATTAGTGTCTGGAATCGCTTGCTTTTAGTATTTCTTGTAAGACACATCTGCCAGCAACAAATTCTGTTTTTGTTCCTCTAGGAATGTTGTTATTTCTTTTTTTTTGAAAGATAGTTTTGCTGGATATAAGATTCTTTATTCAAAGATTTTTCCTTTCAGTACTTGGACTGTGTCATCCTACCACCTTCTGGTCCACTGTGCTGAGAAGTCGGCTGTTAATCTTATTGGGATTCCCTTGTACATGATGAGTCTCTTTTTTTTTTTTTTCTCTTGCTGATTCAAAGATTTTTCTCTTCATCTTTGGCTTTGAGCATTTTTACTGTCAAGTGTCTGGGCGCGAATCTGTTTTTATTGTCATAATTGTAGTTTGTTGACTTCCTTGGATATATTGATTATTTTTCATCAAATTTGGAGACTTTTTGATCATCGTCTCTCTTAATATTTTTTCTGCTCTTTTCTCTACTTTTGGTACTCCCATTACATGTATGTTAGTGTGTTTAATGGTGTGCACATTTCTCTGAGGCCTAGTCTTCTGCCTGTTCAAATCTACTGTTGAGCCCTACAGTGAATTTTCATTTCTGTAATTTACTTTTCAATTCCAGAATTTCCATTTTATTCATTTTTGTACTTTCTATTTCTACTGATATTATTTGGTGAAACACTGTCATCACATCTTTCTTTAATTCTTTAAGCATAGTTAACTTTAGTTCTTTGAACATATTTATAATAGCTGCTTTGATGTCTGCTGAATACAATATCTGGGCCCTCTCAAACAGTCTGTTGCCAGCTTTTTTCCTGTGTGTGGATCACATTTTCCTGTTTCTTTGTACATCTCATAATTTGTGCACGACTGGACATTTTAGGTAATACATCATAGCAATTCCTGACACTGATGCTCCTCACTCTACACCTCCTGCCACCAAACCCAGCTTCTTGTTTGCTTATTCGCTTAGACTGGACTAGTTCAAGGAAGTCTCTCTCCCTATGGTATGCTTCTGATGTCACTCAGAAGGCATAGATTTTGGCTGTGAGTGACTTTCTTATATGTCCTTTTTTAAAATGGTGTAATTCTTCCAAATGCCCCTGCCTGGCCTCCCTGTTAAATTTCTGATGAGTCTTTTTATATTATGAAACTTTTGTTATCACATCCAGCTGTTACCCTCTAATATAATTTCTAGTTGTTTGTTCTATTGTTTTTGGCCCTGGGGCATAAAATTCCCCCAGAGCTTGATTTAGTTAAAGACAGACCCCTTCACAGGGAACATCCTCAAGGCCATTCCTTAAAGCTTGCTCTGACCCCAGGAGAATTCTTAGTTGTCTCTCTTTCTGACTCTCTCTGTTGAACTCCTAACTGGTCTACTATTTTGCTTTTATGGAGCTACACGTCTCTTCTTCATTGCTCACCACCCAAATTTCTATCGTTTTCAACAGCACCTTAGGCTTGTATATCAATATAAATTTGAAAACCGAAATGGAATACACAAATTCATAGAAAGCTATAGCTTAGTAAAACTGATTGAAGAGGAAAGCCTTGTATAATCCTCTTTAAAGAAATATCAATATTTTTAAATTATCCCATTAAAAAGAAAAGTCCAGATCATTTTTTCTGACAAGTTCTATCAAACATTTAACCTACAAGTAATTTCAATCTTATACAATCTATTCCAGAAAATAGAAAAAACAAGGACATTCTCCCAGTCATTTTGTGAAGTTAGCAAAAGCTTGGTAGCAAGACAAAGGACAGTACAAGAAGGAAAAATAAAGGCCTGTCTTACTCGTGCACGTACTGAAAAGATCCCAAACAAGATAGCACATAATGAAGCCAAAGAATTATCGCTAATTTTGTTAGGTTTAATAATGGTTTGGGATTTTAAAAGAAAATGCCCACCATTTTTAGAGTCGTATAATAAAGTATGTAGGAGTGAGATAACGTAAAATCTGAAATTTTCTTTATACTTAGGATAAAGTATAAAGAAAATGAGTTGGTCCTCAAATATTCTTAGAATCTGGATATGAGTTTATGGGGGATCATTGTGTTACTGTCTCTGCTTTTACGTATATCTGAAAAGTTTCATAATATAAAAGGACTAGAAACAGTGGCTTGATTATATGTGATATTATTTTTTTTAAAAGAAAATATACATTATGAGGAAGCTAATGTCATACTCAGACAGAAATGTGACAAGGTAGGGAATTCAGGTTTTAGACGTCTGATCTGGCCTCATCCAAAAGGGATCCCAAGCGAGGTATGCTGTAAGCAATGCTGTGTGGTCTCTGAGGGCAGAGCCAGGATGAGCTCCCATGGGCCAGGAACAATCCAGGAGGATGGATGACATTCCCGGCTGGGCTAGATGGAAGGAAGTTCTCATACTCTGATTTCACAGCCAGAAATGGACCAAGTTCTTTTTTTAGCTGTGGTCAGAGTTGAGTTTAACCTTTACCCCATCACCAGGATAAAGGTGATGTGTGTGAGGAAAGTCGGCCAATTGTAACACTGTACAAATGCAGGGTACTTAAGTGCTATATGCAGAAGCAGGTTTAAGCATAAAAGGGTTAGGGAGTCCAGCTCCTTTGGAAAACAGTTTGGTGTTTCTTCAAAATGTTACAGACATAGATGTCACATGACACAGCCATCCCAGTCTTATACATTTACTCAAGAGAATGAAAACATGTCTCCACAAAAACTTGCCACTTTCATATCATCATTATTCATAAAAGCCCCAGAGTGGGAACAACCATAATGTCCACAGCTGATGAAGGGATAAACAAATGTAGTGCTTCCACTTACAAAGGCGGCACCGACACGCCACGACGTGGCTGAGCCTTGAAGACATTTTGCCGAGTGAAAGGAGACAGTCACAGAAGACCACATAGTGCACGAGTCCATCTATGTGCAGTGTCCAGACCAGGCAGATCCACAGAGAGCGCGGGTCCGTGGATGCCAGTGTCAAAGGTGTGGGTGTCTCTGGGGATGATAACAACATCCAGGTGAGACAATGCGCTGCTCGTGCCTCTCTGTGACGGTGCTAAAAACTGTCGAGCAGCACGCTTTACAGGAGTAAATGAATGTATGGCCCGTGAATGACATCCCGATAGGGCTGTCATTTAAGGGCCGGGGGACAGGGGTCACGCCACCCCCTCTATGGCCACCACCACCAGGGGTCTGCATGGAGTCTTCCATGAAAATCAGGAAGATGTATGACTTTTTTTTTTAATCTTCATTGAGAAAAATGCTAAGTCTGAAGCAAAAACAATAAGAAAGCCAAGGCCTGCCGTTTTACTCCCCACTCGTTGGCTTGTTAGCCTGGATGAGAAGGGGGCTTAGCTCTGAGCTCCCCCGAGGCCAAGGAGAGCCCAGCCTACCCAGGATGGGCCTCGTCTTCTAGAATTTCTCCCTCCTAACCAGCAATAAGCATAGTCGCTGTACTGGCCAAACAGGGCTATGACGATTTTTTTAATCACTAAACGTAATTTTTAAAACAGTCACACGTGCAGTCACGCCAGACGTGTGCGCACGACCCCCGGCCCACCCACTGCGGTCAGCCTTCACTCATGATGTGCTTCTCTCCCCATTTTCCCGTCTCCTGTCTTCCAGTGGCTGCTTCAACCCCCAACTCCACTGCTGGTGCAGCCATGAATTCTTTGACCTCTCTGGGGACTCTGCAAGGACTGGCGGGAGCCACTGTCGGACTGAACAATATTAACGCACTAGCAGGTACCATCAACAGTGAGTATTTGCTGCTCTGGTGGACAGCCTTCCCCCAAATTCTCCGCAGGAAGCGGTCAGCCAGAAATGACCTAAAAGGGATCCGTACCTGGGAGAACTAAAACTTGGGATGGAGGAGCGCATGCTTTGACAGGCACATGCTGTCCGCGTTCGTTTTGCCTCAAAAAATGCCCAACCACACGCCACCCCCGTCTTTTCTGATACATACTACGTGCTTTTCCATCCGCAGATCTCTGTGGTTGGCAGTTATTTGCAGGTTTCGAGGGATTGGGTTTGGTTTGGATTTGGATTTGGATCTGTCCTGTCCTTCGGCGAGGCAGTGTTAATAAGAGAAAAGGGGATGGACCAGAAATCGGGGCATGTGGGGCCGGCTCCGAAATCACTAGCGATTACCCACAGGCCCTGAGGCCAAGCCTTGCCCCACTCTGAGCTCAGAGTCCTCTTGGGAAACTGATGATCTTAAAGGTGCCTTCCAGCTCTGAAACCCAGAGATTGGTGATACTTATGGCAGCGTAGGGGGTGAGGCCTGGAAAAGAGACCCAGCTGAGCAGGCAGGACCCGCTCCTGGAGCGACATGGGTCACAGTAAGCCGTGCGGCCCCAAAGGGCATCGCTCCACCACGGCCAGGGGGCAGACCGCTCACAGGTCACTTAGACCCACACGGGACTCTCCGGAGGACTCTGGGTCTGTCCCCGTAGCTCACCCACTACTGATGGGTTTCCGCCTGCAGATGAGCATGGCGTAGGCTCCTGCTTGGCGCTGGCTCCCGAAATGGGGAGACTGCCCTCAGCCCCAGCGGGGACACCTCATTGGCCTCTCCCTTGGTCTGGTCCCCCTCGGGGGCCTGAGAGTAGCCAAGCCCAGCAGGTCCATGACAGCCTATAGACTCTGATTTGGGGGCCCAGGTACCTACTGTGCAACCCAACACCACCCATCAAGAGAGGGGTCCCTGGCAGGTTGTCCCATTTCAAGCCATGGTTGAATAAGGGAACTGTTTTTACAGGGCAGTCAGGCAATAGTTTCCTTAAAAAGGCAAAAAAGAAAGAAATCCCGATAATTCTACTTCGAAAGCTCAAGAATACCTTTCAGTTTATTTGGAAAAGAATCTAAAATTCATCCGCATGAAGAGTAACTTTTATAATCCTGATAAGAAGATAAATCTTGTATTTTAAGGTAGGAAAATTTCAGGTTTTATGAAATCCTTTTCTTCAGATGCTCTGGGAAAAGCAAACAAAAACTTGGACTGTTTTATCTGACCCTTGGCCAAAAAAAGAAAAGAGAGACATTTTCCCTTGCAGATACGCTGATTAGCAGGGGTAACCACGGGACAGCACAGTGTTGCTCCGGTACAAGTGCCTCCAGCCCCCTCCCCCAGCCCTGGGCCCTCAGTGCCTTGACTGCTGTTTCTGACCTTGTTCTGCAGACGCTCCAGCCCACTTGTCCTTGCCCTCGGTTGCAGGTGTGTGTGTTTGCACACAGCCCTCCATGCTGCTTCTCTTGCCCCAGGACCTAGTTCCCCTAAAACAAGGACTTTGATTTGATCGCCTGCCTGTCCTTGGTCTGCACAGTAACAGGCCAGTGGGAGTGGCTGTCCTCCTCAGCACGTGCTCATGACTGCTGTGTGTCGTCCTCGTGTGTGCGTCCCGCCTCTCTCCGTCCTGTTCTGTCGTACTTGGCTGGGATGTTCCATCGTGAGGAGGGGCTGGAGAGGGACTCTGTCGAGTGGCAGAGAAACCATGAGTAGTTCTTGTGTGGGGTCTGTGTTACACGAATTTTGCTTCTGGCAAGGACAACAGGCTTAAGTTGTTGGTTTTTTTGTTTGTTTTTTTTTAATTCTTTGCCATTGGGTTAATATAAGTGTGTTGAGTTCATGGAAAATTAAGAATGCGTCCAGTTTCAAATAACCCCTACCAGAGAGTATGAACCAGGAGGACGTCTCGTTAAACCAAAATCCACGCTCAAACACAAACGCGTTCCTTCGGGTGAGGAGAGGCTGTGCGCGGAGCCACTTCACGGTCCCAGCCCAGCTCGGAGCTAACATCTGCTTCCTGTCCCAAAGACCAAGAGGGACCCTAACACAGAGTGTCCTCTTCCACACCGTTCTCCCTCAACAGAGATGTTGCTGCTGCCTGTTCTGCCAGATAATTCTCAAAGCAGGTAGTCAGGAAACAGTTGCCTAGACAGAGGCAGCTTCTAAAAACAGCTGGCCGCAGCCTCCACTGCCATCTCCCACCCCCTCCATCCCAGAAACCATTACAGGCCACCACAGGGCAGTTTTCTGGTTTTCAGCACAGGACCAATTTTTGCCCATGAAGGAGCCAGGAAGAAAGTAGGTAGATGGAATCCACTTAATTCCCAAATTCATCTGAGTGTAAATTTTACATTCTTCCCTGAGAGGCGGCCCCTCACCTCCCCCCAGAATAAAGTTTTGGTTAGTAGACAAGTAGCTAAATCGAACGGAATCTGATCTCCTTTTTCTACCTTATACATTCACGAGTGGAGGGGCTAATGGGAAAAAGCACGGGATCCGCGAGCTCAAAGCAGAAACTAGCCAGATCGAAAGGAAGGAGTGCGGGTGAGTCACCTGCAGAGCTTCCAGCCATGATTATTTGCGGGTCCTCCAGGCATGTTTCATATATTAATATCTGAACTAAGATGAAAATTATTTTTTGCAGATATGTCCACTCAAGAGTCTGTATCTGATTGTGTGTGTTTAAATGTATTTTTCCTTGTTTAAATGGCGTAGTTCTTCCAAATGGCTTACCCATATAGGACTCAAAATTATGATGGTCTGAATAGAACCCACCACAGATGCTTGGTGAATAGTGTTTACGGAAACATTTTATGTAACGGAGAGGAAGAGGAGATGCTTTGGGCATATCTTGTGGCTTGTCGCCCTTTATTTGTATTGTGAAATGACTGTTTTTAATCTGTATTTTTAAAACATACAAAGATATATGTAGTGGGACACATAAGCCCACACAGCCTCACACACACTTGTGACCAGAGAAACACAGGCACATGTATGAATACCACTAATGGTACATGTGCACATTCATCTGGTTCTTAGACATTTTATACTTAAGTTCTCATTGCCAGCTTGCAGCTTAGAAGGATATACTTCATCAACACTAAGGACACGTCCCACTAAATAGATTACAGATTGGTGAGAATTTATTAATGCATTCCTCACTTTTGCTCTTTTTTATTTGGTAACGTATCTAACAGAGTGGCTTGCAGATAACTGTAGTGTGCTTATGATGCTCTGCCTCTGATTCTCCATTTCAGTACCATCTTCATAGTGGCCACAAAGTGTTCATGCTCACATTTATGGGCGGGTCCTCCTATGTCACTTTCAGAGATTTACTCAGCAGCCTCACAGCGCCTCAGGTCTCCATCAGCTGAGGACCTTTGGTGAGCAATTAAGTTTAAAGCACTTAGGAGTCAAGATACGCACTGATAGACCATTTGCAAAGACCCTCGCTTGTTGAGGCTTGCCACCTCTGTCATTTTGTCCCAGCCTTCCTCATCCAAATAGCTTTCATGGGAACCTAGATTAAATAGGATGAAATGATCAGTCCATCTGGCCTTTTCCAAGAAAAGCCTTATTCTTTTAAGGGGGAGCATTTTATTCAACTTAACCTTCCTCAAACCTCTGTTTCTGTTGTCCAAAGTTTTTGGATGCAGCCAGATACCAGCAGCTAAATTGACAGTGTTATCTTTTATATAATGATGACAATACAGAATAACAGTAGATAACTCGCAGGAATTACTCTCAGAGGTTGAAATCTTCCTTTGATGGCCCTTCAGATTCTACCAGGTCATCATTACTGATCCTACCTTGGCTTTCAGCAAACACACACCAGAATTCCCAGGAAAATTTTGGTTTTAAACATTCTCAATGCATTTGTACTTGTTAGAATTTTTACCCTTATTTTTTGTTCAGAAAGACAGTTATACCACAGAGGAGGAAAGCCCTGGGCTGCCAAGGCCCTGATTAGTCCTCTTTGGCACCACCGCCCCCTTTACTTAGCATCTCCGCCACCATCTCCCTCCCCAGCCCTGGCTACACACAGACCCAGCTGAAGCACGAGCCCTTCGGAAAGCAGATCGCCCCGAGGTCCAGTCCAGAACACAGCCAGCCGCTGTGAGGTGTAGGCAGGAAGCCTCGGGATGTGGCTGCAGTGTCACGTGCTAGAGCTGCAAGCCACACAGGACTGTGGTCCTGAAACATACATCCAGGCTTTCAGGAGCATGAAGTTCATTCTGCTTCTGTGTTTTAAGAGAACCAAACAAATTCGCCAAAGGGGGAAAGAGAAGGTCATTCACCTGACGAGGGTGTCAGGGGCACCAGTGACGGTGGCACTTAAATACCACCTGTGTGTCTGGGAGGCTACAGGTCACAAGAAGGCACTCGTGATGGCAGGGCCGGGGCCACGGAGGTGCAGTGCTCTCAGCCACCCCAACTGGTGGCAGAGTGATTCATCGTGGGGCTGTCTTCAGCCATGTCTGGCCGGCCACTGCGCCCCACGTAGCTCTGTAGGCCTCAGTGCACACAGAGCTGTACACTTCGGGGCATGAGTGGATGGCAAGTCCCTGCTCTCTGTTCCTCCTAGAACCTCCTCCCACACAGAATCTCGCTTTCTAGAGGGCCGAACCCATGACGTGACCGTCTCTATCCCTAGCACCTATTAACAGCCTGACAAAAACGAAACCAGCAGCACTTATCAACTGTGCCCAGCTCTCCTGAGTCATTTTATACCCTCCTCTCACCTCTCTCAGAAAAGAAACACTGATGTTTCTTTGCAATCATACGGATATCGGGAGGTGAGGGTGAAATAAGACCTAAAGAGGAAAAGAAATTGCTCCTCGTCCCTTCAGCCATAGGAGTAACAGGGATGAAGAGCAGAAGAGGCAGAGAGGTAGATGTGACTGGTCGGTGTCTGAGGGGTCGTTTGATCGGGAGCACAGACTGCTCCCAAGCTCTTCAACAGCTCTTATCTGCATGATGGGAAAACACAACAGACTCCTTGATAAGAAACAAAGCCGAGTCGGCAGGGCCTCTGCTGCCCAGCGCCCTTTCAGCTTTGCCTGCATTTCTAGGTCTGCTTGACTTCCTTCCCAGGCTCGTTTAGGCTCTCCTTCCTCCTCGCCACCCCAGGCCTCGGTAACGTCAACCCCACGTCCCCAGGAGGAACACTAGACCTGAGGCACTGGGAGGTCCCTCTGCTGTAGTGCGAGGGTCCGATCTGTGTCCTGCCTGTAGCCCTTTTAACCCAAGAGATGAAGTTGTCAAAAGGCCAGAACATGGAGTCAGCAGGACAGCCCCTCTTCCCTGAAGATGGCAGGGAGAAACTCGGATGGGAATGCTGAGGTGACTCTGGTATTTGGTTCCTCTACGTCGTTTCTAAGCGGTCTTATGTTAATTATCCTCTGTTCTCATTGGACTTCTTACCAACTTCTTTCAAGGTCAGTCATCTTGGCTGTTTTAAGAGCCCTGATCAATAGCCTTAATCACTTCAATATTTTCATTAATGTTTTCAGTAAGTTCTTCCCTGAAACAGATCTTTAAACAAAAAAAAAAAGTTTTAATCATGAAAGGGACTGAAGGCAATTATGATGTCACCTCTTCCATGTCTTGAGTTCATATAAAAGTTAACACTGTATAAAGTCTTGCTTGTTTTGACTCAGTATTCAGGGAAAATATGCCACAGTCAGCAACCATAATAGAGCAAAAGAGCAGCCAGGATACAAGGGAAAAAATCAGAAAAGGGCGCTGGCCACCATCCAGTTCACATGAGTGGAGAGCCAAGATCCAGCTCCCAGACGCTGGTGTCCCTGCAGTTGACTGAAACACGTGACGTGGAGCTCTTTCACTGGCAGAAGCCCCAGTTACGTGGGCATCGTTTAATACTCCCACGCGCACGCTTGCTGCTGAAAACCAGCGGCCCCTCCCTGTGCAGCCCTTCACGCCGAATCAGCACCCGCTGTCCTCGCGTTAGGGGCAGGGCCCACGTTTTCCCTGAGCCGTAATTCTTCCTCAGCTAGGCTGACCCAGAGCTCCCAGTCCCGACACCCTCCTCCTAGGGTCTAGGAAACTGGTTCTGGAACCACCAGTTCACTGGTTTACCGAGCACAGAGCTTGTCTTCTCTGCTGTTCGCTTCCGAGGGAAGTTTTATCCTTCCCTCCTCAGCCCCGTGAGCCATCCCGTGGCTCCTCAAAGAGCCCAGCAAATGGTTAAGTGTGCAGATGGCACAGGCCTCTGCCAGGAGTGCTTCTACCTGCTTCGGAGCTCTAAGAAACAGAAGGCTCTTATTTCCAGAAGATGAGCACAGCGCTTGCCAGCAGCACCCTGCATGGATTAGATGTGCTGTCTCCCTGTCGCACCTCGGTGACTTCTGACCATTGGCCTCGGGAGTGAGGGTGATCACTGCTCAGGGGTCTTTGTTGCTGCTGTTGTCTGTGTTGTCACCGTCCTCATGATCTGTGGCTTCGGTTCCGTTTGAATTCCATGTCGGTTTCACTGGTGTGCTAGCTGCATGCACTTGCTGTTGTACTTGTGTCAAATGATTCTAACTTCCTTTGGAAAGCACTAATGAAAAGTGCTATTTCTCTTCTCTATTGTTGGGTTTTTTGTAAAGTTGCTCAAATGCTCTCAGGTATGGCGGCTCTGAATGGAGGACTTGGCGCCACGGGCTTGACGAATGGCACGGCGGGCACCATGGACGCCCTCACCCAGGCCTACTCAGGGATTCAGCAGTACGCGGCGGCGGCCCTGCCCACGCTGTACAGCCAGAGCCTGCTGCAGCAGCAGAGCGCGGCCGGCAGCCAGAAGGAAGGTACGTGCGGCTCGGCCCGGGCTCGGCGGGCGCCCCCGGGGCGTGTGCTCGGAGAAGCTGGTCGGAGCCAGCAGCACGAGAGGAAGCAGCTGCTCTCTTTCTGCCATTCATGTTTTTTTTAAGAAACCTGACAAGGCTACACCATACATTTCAATCTTCTTTTGGGTTCAGTCTTCTTTTCCTTTTCTCTTTGGATTTAATCTGTCATCTACATCGTAAGATGGATTTCTCACCCACTGTGCATTTATACAATTACTTAGTAGTTGCTGCCATCCAAAAATGGCCAGGAAGCCCCTCTCCCAAATCAGCATTATTTCTCCGCTTACACAGGCTGCTCCCTGGCGCGAGGGAGGGGGGGACCCAGTCAGCCCTCTGGGTGGAGCCCTCTTCCCCGCAGGCCTCCCAGTTCTCAGAGCCCACAGACCTGCCTGTAGTAGGCGCTGTGTCCAGGTTAATGATATGATCCACTGTAAAGACTGCCCCAGTCTTTAATTGGGGGTTTTCTGGGGAAGCAAATAAGTGATTGATCACCTTCTTCCCGGCCAGTAAGACAAATGCAGGAAGTTAATGGTGAGAATAAATTAAAGCTAATTCTAAAATAGTTAATGAGCTAGTCCAAATAAGAAGAGCTTGTCTCTTTTTCTTCTTTTTGGTTTCTTCTTCCTTAATTGAAGTTGCTTTGAAGCAAAATCTGCAACATGATATTATTCTTAGAATTATGCTTAGATGTTATGCTTAGAATATGGGAAAGAAGTTAGAATAGGGAAGAACTGCTGGTTTTGTTTTTTAATTTTTCTCTTTTTTACCCTCACCCCATAGTTCCAAACTGTTCCTTGCTGAACACAAATTTCACCTTAAACATGGTATTCGATAAATAGAATAGTTTTACTTTGTAGAGTTGTGGATTTTAAAGGGGACACAGCTTTAAAGATATTCATGTGTAACAAAAGTTTTTCCTGCTTATAAACAACAGCGTTAAAAATGCAAGATGTGTGAAAATCTTAAGTTATTTTTCATCATTTCAGCTTTCTCTATACTCTTGGTTGTGACTGTGGTAGATTTTTTTAACACATACACAGCTCATCAGACAACCATTTCCCTAGGCGTATGGAGACGCTACGTCATGAATACATGACTTCCCAAAGAAAAGCCTATACTGAGGTTCGTTTTTCTAAGGTCTGACTACCATGGTAACAAATTAAAGCAGTAGGAGGGTCCTGCAAGATAATGGTATCCTCAGAAGAGATCATAAAAGCCAGTTCCCCCACATGCATTCTAGAGAATGTTGGTCACCTCTGCCTTATCCAGCAGAGCTTTACAGCAAACTATAGAGCATGTGTCACTGAGAAGACACTACCAGAGACTCAAAATGTAGTGGTTTACAGACAGAATATGGGCCTTGAAACACTTGTCTCAGCTGACTGACCTCAGCCCACTACTCCCATTTAGTCCCTGCCTTGAGTTTCCAGGATTTCTTAAACAGTAATTAATCCCCAGGGATTAATGTAAAATAGTTTGAAATGAGGATCGCCTACTCCAGATTATGTGGATTTAGGTCTGCAGGCTGCCGGAAGCAGGGTAGCGTGTTAGGGTTTTGATTTTTTTGATGGTGTGTGTGTTTGTTCAGTTCCTTTCAGTCACCTCTCCCCTTCTCAAGCTGCTCTTCTTACCACGTTCTTCTGGCCCAGCTAACGTGAGCTCAAGAAACTTAAGCCATCTTAATATTTTATCTAAAATATAATGTAAAAAGACAATTTATACTGGGAAGAAAAATAAATCCCCTACTGAATTTCACTATTAAATAGATCTTTAAATTTCCTATTACGTAGTTCTGTCCTTTGGTCAGGAGAGTCGAAAGTCACCTCGATCTGTTTAGTCACGTACCCAGCGTGTTTTCCAACAGGAGCACGAGCCGATCTGGTTTAAATATTTTCCCCAGCCAAGCCTTCTGAAGGGTTAGGGCGCCCTAGAGAGCTAAACCCAGGAAAGCCGACCACCTTTCCTGCCTTTCCTACATAGCCTTTGACCTCTTCCACAGCTTCCCATCTTCCCGTGTTTGCAGGAAGCAAGTCACACACACACAGCAGGTCAAGTCTCAGACACCCAACAGGAAGCTGGCAGGTGCTGGCCGCCTGATACAAACGCCCCAGTGCTTTATGCTGTAGCAAGCGCCCTGTGAGAAATACAGAACATGAACAACCAAGCAGCCACAGCCAGCGACGTCACACACAGAACCTTAACAAGTTAAAGGAACATGTACTAGGAGAAGTCTGAGGGACGCGTGGCTTGTCAGCCGGTTCTTACTAAAGGGAGAAGTAAGGAGAATAGTGGAACCTCAAATTTTTTGTTTGTTTTTTTACCCTAGGCACCTGCGGCAGGAGCCGCTTTCACTGCACACAGGAGAGGTGTGCCACAGCAAGTCACCTTTTTCCCATTTTAGTGTGAACGGTGGTACTGGTTTGCCACATCAGACTATTCCTTGGTGATGGAAAAAAACAGGGACTTCATAGTAGGAGATGGTGGCATTTTCCTGGGACCATGATGACTAAGGACAGAGCCGCCTTGGGTTTACCTGTCTTCATATTTTCTTGGTTCCCTGTCTGGCAGGGACACATTCAGAAGGCACAGCAGTCTAGAACGCCAGGATTATCCCAGCCTCGACAGTAATCTTTCGTAGTGCATAAAAACTGCATTTCCTTCCCAGGCTTCAGGAGGTGAGAGGACCCCACAATTCAGATTGGGTCCCACTGATCCTCATTTGTGTGTCTGCACCTTTGGATGGGACAGTAAATCATGGTAGAGCCAGATATTGCAAAGGGTGGGCATGGCACACAGAGCTTGCTCAGAACATCCATTTCCAGTATTTGGGTTTTGTGTCTGTTCACGTTTAGTTTTCCTTTTTTAAAGGTCCTTTATTAAACCAGGAAACTTTTGGGGACCAAAGCCTGCCACTGTGTCCCTTTAAATGCAGCCTGCCTCCCTCGTGCTGGAATGAGGCTCTCTGTGGAAACTGTGATCGGTGTAGAAAGTAAACGCGGTCACGCTGACACTTAGAAATGCTTCGTCAATGTGGCTTCAGACATCTGCCTCAGGAAGTCTTCCTTCTGAAGAGTCCCACCCATTACAACACTTATTTTATGATTTTTTTTTTTTAAAGGAGAAACTTGGTATGACTTTTCTTTGCCAAAATGTCGATCTTTTCTATTTGTACCAAGTTCTTTTTACCTGTTTTCCTTTTCTTCCCCGTACACATGGACTGCCCCCGCCTAGCGCGCGTGCGGACACACACACACACACACCCACACCCACACCCACACACACACCCCTACACCCCACCTACCTACCTACCTACCTTACAGCAGCCTGTGCCCTGGCCACTCTGCTGTGAGGGCCAGTTAAGGTCCCGTGAACCAGCCGCAGAGGCTGTTCACCAGCTGCACGAGCACCCTGCCCTCCCAGACGCCATGCCCAGAACACAACACCCCAGAGGCATCGCACCCTGCAGCCTCTCCGGACCTGTGGGAAAGGCTGTGCCGCCATCCCCAGCACTCTTGACCTGGGAGGCGTCTTAACTGCTGTGTCCATCGGGTGGTTCGGATTCCCTCCTCTCTCCTTTTTGCTGCTTTTAACCTTCAGATAGTTCTCGTGCAGGTGGCTGGAGAGCTGTGAGAAATGGAAAGGAACTTAAGAGGCCATATCTTTCCAACCCACATAGCTAAGATCTTCCTCATTCTGCCTTTGTTTCTAGTGTTTCTGGAAAGTGATGGGTAAGAGTGAAGAGTCTTTGGCTGCTCCATCTCATGCATTCATGTTCAAGGCTAATTCCCATTCCCAGTGGTACAATTCCTATCACAGTTGTGAAACTAGCTACCTATTTTTCCCTGCCTTGACTCATTGCCAGTCATTCCTAATAAAGATGATTATTAGACTGTGTGTTAAGAGATTTGGCAAATCAAAACTGGATGGGTAATTAGGTAAATGATTGAGAAATCCAAGCAGCATTACTGCCATATCCATTATTCTAAATTGCTACAATTTGCTTGGAAGGCACAGGACACCCTCTCCACAGAGACAGTGCACACATAGCGCAGAACGTAGCCGTCTCCCCAACGCCACCCCATGGCCGCCACCTTCACCCCCACGCGTGCTCACGTCGAGTGAGCAGACGTGACCCACAGATGAGCAGTGCAAAGGAAGCCACTCTTCACCAGCGTCTCTTAGGAAGTGATGAAACTCGGAAGGGCGTTTGCTTTCCTAAAAGCCCCGGCGGCACCTGACACGTCACCATCTCTTCTGTCTTCTCCCGGGGGTGCGGGGAGGGGAGCTTAGCCTGTCTGTTTTTAAAGCGTTCCTCGGAGGTGGGAGCTAAGAGGTGAAGAATACCTTACTCTGATTTTTTTTTTTTCCCTCTTTAGGTCCAGAGGGTGCAAACCTCTTTATTTACCACCTTCCACAGGAGTTTGGAGACCAGGACATTCTGCAGATGTTCATGCCTTTTGGAAATGTTATCTCTGCTAAAGTCTTCATTGACAAACAGACCAATCTGAGCAAGTGCTTTGGTATGCAAAAGAAACCAAGCTAGACTATTACAGCACTCACCACCACCCCCCCATCCCCCCAAGTGAGGCGGCCCGGGAGGGAAGCTGTAAATGGCAGATATTTCGGAAGTCAGGGTAGGGCCTTCCCTGTGCGGTGGTGTCTCCTGGTTCTCTGGATCCACGTACGCAGACTGGGCAAAGTCACTGACTCAGAGAGGAGGGGGCTGTAAAAAAGGAAGGATCTGGGAACTTAAACCACGTGCCCACACAGCAGGTAATGTTCTGCAGGACACGGTGGATGGATGTGCCCCCTACATGTATCTCCTGATGGGTCACCGTAGAGCCACAGCAGTGTCTTTGAACCTCACAGATTGAACCACAAGCTACCAGTTGGGAATACGGTTACCAGACTATAGTTTAATCTGTCCTGATACAGAACAGCACTGCAGCCACCTTGCCACTAATTCCTTACCTTGCCAGGTTCAATGAGACTCAGCCACTGTGGCTGCATGTGGCAACACGTGGCATGGGGGCTTGCCGCGCAGCACCCTGACACTGCGCACACAGGCTCAGGCCTCCCCAGTAGGGGTGCGGTCGAGCAGGCTGCCACTGCAGCTGAGTGCAGGGGTAGGTGGGCGATGTGTCGCATGGCCACATAAAGAGCTGCGTCGTGCTGGGGTTCAGGAGCCAGAGAAGCCAGGCAAGGTGTGTGTGCAGGGGCTGGCGGAGTGCACGGGGAGCACGGGAGGGCAGGTATTCCGAGGACACTGGGAGGCCCGGCCTCGGGGGCCCAGGCTGTCGCTCACCCGCCCGCCTGCCCTCAAGCAGCCCAGGCTTTGCCCCCCGGGGCGTTTTTTGCCCCGAGAGAGGAAAGCTCTGCCTGCACTGGTGCGCTGAAGCAGAAGGAGGGCAGCGATTGCGTGTGTTATTTTTCCAACCCATTTAGTCCCCAGAGTGGTTGGGGGTTAGGAGGCAGAATGTTCAGAGTACATATTACTCACTTGACAAGTTCTGGCCCAGGTCGTTTGCTTGAGTCACTCCTCCAGTTTACTAATTCACCTTGGTGGGAGGTATAAACAGCATAAGACAAAACAAAGCGGAACAGATAAGGGCCAGAGGGAACTGTGTGGTATAAAGAACATCAGAGGTGGGAGAGGTTCTCAGACGGCCGAAAACTCAACTTTGCGTTTGGCCGACTGATGATGGGGCAACCAGAATGTTCTGGCTGCTAAAATACGCCGTTATCGTAACGTCTTTCTAATTTCCGTGCTGTCGCCCGGGATGGTCTGAAACTTCTGTTGTTAGGGGAATTAGTACGCCCACCATTTCAGTCACGGTTTTTCCCCAAGTGGAAGGGCCATCAGCCTGAACCCACTGCGCTGCTGCTGCTGTGACAGGTGTGTCAGCCCCTGGCACTGGTTCAGGAGAGCGCGACACAGAGTAAGTTGTTACACGGGCTGTGTGTGTCTCACCACGAGCTGACCCTTGGGAGCTTCCCCGCACAGGTTCTGGGCCAGACTTTTATTTTCCTCATCACCAAACAATGTCCTGGGCTCATCTGGAGGTTGACTGAAAAGGGATTGAGCTTCATGGCTTGATTTTGAGAAAATATTTACTGCTTTGAAAAGAACTCAGCCCACAAGCTACTCCACCAGTGTGTGCATGGCAACGCGAGCCGCAGCTGTGGGTGTGAGCAGACAGTTGTATTTCGCATGATGGGCCGTGTTTTCAGTTTTTATTGGAAGCCGTGGCATCCCATACTGAGGTTTCTCAGTGAGCCAGTGTAATTTCTTGGGATTCCAGGTTCGCTAGGCATAAGGTGGTACCCCATTCCGTCCTGACCTCTTGGCCAGTTTTCGTTATCCATTTCACCCTTGACCCATCTCCATTCTTTAATCATCTTTGTACTTCTGGATAAAAACCCAGAGGGAAAGGAGAACGTCTGACAGGTATCTTCTATTTATCTATCTATTGGGAATTAGATTTCACAAAAAGTTAAATTACCATTTGCAATAATGCTTGCCTGTGAGAAACTTTTCTGCTTTCTACTACCTGCTCATGTTTGTCAGCTGAGAACTCTGCTAAAGGTACATTAATGTCCTTCTTCTAGTTTATAAAGGAATTTTCTCTTTAGCTCTAAACTTGAATAGTCGGTAGATGGAGAAGCTTGGTCTAGAACCTTCTGAAGAGCTGATGTCCAATCAGGACAACAGCTCCCTTTTACCACCAACAGTAAGTAGGGACTGTACAGGCTCAACACTCTGGCACTGGAAGCATCAGGAAGGCTTCGCAGGCACCACGGCCCCCAGCCCCAGCCCCAGCCCCAGCCCCAGCCCCGGCGTTAGATCAAACTCTGTGGAATCCTGTTTCTTAGTCTGTGCAGTTATCATCAGTTCTTTTTCCAAATCATGCCCTTCCGTCTTTTTTGGTGGTGAATGCCAGAGCAGGGAAAAGATACTGGGGACAGTGAGGCCCAGAGCTACTTAGACTGTTTATTCCCCTAGACTCTGGGGAGTACAGGAGATCAGTTTCCATTCTGTTGAACTCAGTGGAGCTCTGAAAACGGGAGCTGAGATGAGGGGACGATCCAGCATTTCCCCCAGGCCCCTAGTCATAACTCCAACGTGTTAAAAATCAAGTGTAAGTTATTCTAGAGTTAATTTACTAACTCCATCCTGTAGCCGAACAGGTGTGGGCTCTGTGGCATGGACGGTGACCTGGACTGAAAGGCGGCAGGTCTCTAGCAGGACACCGTTAGCCAGCCCTGCCCTTAATTATCCTGCCTTTTGAGCTCAACTGGGTTGAGCTTCTGGGCCCTTCCAGCCCTGGACTGTCTGCCTGTGCCCTGCTCAGATGAGCAGCGCCCACCCGTGCTCCTGGGTTCTTGCAGAAGGATTCTAAGGGGCTTCACTGACGTCAGCAAGCAGAGACTCAGCTTTCGGCAGCATCCGGCTGGCCTTGTCGCTGCCTCGCAGTGGGCCGCCCGCTGTTGCCCCTGACATGCGCCCGCGTGGCCATGGGACCAGTGCGTGACCATTCGCATTACGCTGTCCAGCTGTCCCGTGGGGCCCTGGCCCCCTTCTCTGCTCCACTGCCGCTCCATCTTGATTCCCGCCTTCCTTCCCCTTGTGTTTTCCAGGTTTTGTTAGCTACGACAATCCCGTGTCTGCGCAAGCTGCTATCCAGGCTATGAATGGCTTTCAGATTGGCATGAAACGTTTGAAGGTCCAGCTGAAGCGCTCCAAAAACGACAGCAAACCTTACTGATCCTAACCCCAGAGGCTCCCTGCTCTTATTTTAGCTTTCTTAGGGTAAGTCCCACGAGCCAGCCTGTTCTCAACAGGAAAGGCAGAGGAGGACCACATTGCCAACTTTTACCAAGAGAGACGATTATTTTTACAATAAGGCCTCCATTTCCCCCCTGCCCCCCACCCAGTTCGCCATATTTAAAACTTGGGCTACCTTGTTTCTATCGAGTAAACTCCTCCAGTTGTGCCACTGTATTCTCCTTTGTTTTGCAATTTGAATCTCCTTTTACCTTTTTTTGTTGTTTTTGTTTTTTTTGCTTTTTTAAAGAAAAACACATACACAAATAAATGACATCTTGAGAATTTAAAAGGCAAACAAAGGCTAACGTGCACTTCTGACTCTGAGACCCCTGGTGCCCTGCCTGGAGAATTCGCGCGTCCTGTGGCGCTCGCCCCTAGGAGGGCACTAGCTGTTTAGAGGTCAAGGGTGGCCTAGCGCAGGAGAAAAGCCAGGAAAAGCACTTAAAACAATACAAAATGTCTTTCCACTACATTTGGTTCGTTTTAATAAGCAGGATTTTATTTTAGGGTTCAAAGAAACATGACATTTATTGGTCAGGTTATTACACTGGTTGTCTATTTTGTTATTGTTTTATTTTAGTTCTTAGAAAGGATTAATGTAAAAAAAGATTTAGAGATCTGTTTCTTAAAGCTACAGGGTTTAAAAATAAAAAAAGGAATGAAAATACTTGATGTTTCTTGAAAGATAAATTTAATAATAAATAATACATAAATAATACATAAATAAAAAAGAAAGCCACAGGCCTGTAAATTTTATTTGTAAAAAAAGCATTTCTATTTTTGTACAAAATTTTTACTGCCTCAGAAATAATGGAAGTTATTTATTGCCTATTGTTAACTTATTGGGTACCTGAAGAGCAGTTCTCTGTGCTGGCTAGAGCCTTCTGAAGTAGTCTCTAGAGGAATCGTTCTAGGAATGGGCTTTTTTTCACCGTTGAACTCTAGGCCTGAAGTTCATGCTTTATCCTCTTGTCGTTTGTATCTGTCTGATTATTTTGTTCGTAACTTCCATTATCTAGTTTACAGTTCAGTTGTCTGACTTTCCCGTATGTTACATTCGTTGAAACTGGATCCTCCCCACTGTCCCTTGCAGCCCCTCACCCCAAAACACTCAGAATCCATCCCCTCCCTCTCCCTCTCTGGATGGATTCTCTTGGGGTTCCATTGTGCTGTGGATAGAGATTGTAAGAAATGCAAATTATGTGGATGGCTCATAGACTCCCTAATGACCTAAGATTTGCATTAGTTTTTCTCCTGCACCCTTAAGAGTGATTTTGTTGCTGCTGCGTAGATTCTGTGTAACTTTTTACTCTCCCTTGTTTTCTCCCTAGACATCTTCATGCCCGTTAGTTCACCGTTTGCCTAGCATGTCCCTGTGGCGTCTCAAAAAAAAAGTTTCATCGTCCCGTCATTGTTTCTGATGTCTTTCTGACCTCACATCATATTTGGTTCTCCTACTGACCTTTGATCTAGTTTGACCTTTGAAATTTGCATGTGACCTCATCTAGCTATGAATTCTGGGAAGTCAATGTGAAAAACATTGCTGCATTCATGCAAGACTGAAATTTATTATTAGAAAAATTATAGAAAAAAAAACCTGTGGCAAAAATGTTTTTTTTTTTTCTTTTCATAAAACAGACTTGAAAGTATTATACAGGGATTGGCATTCTTCCCGGTCACTGGTAACAATAGCAATATGTGTCCAGGGACACAGAATGTTGGTTTCTAACAGACTACTTCCAAAAACAGTTTGAGAAAAAAACTGTCTGATTTTAAGTCTCTAGAGGTCTGTAATAGTTTTTACATTTTTCAGGCAGTGTAAAGTTTTTTGATAAGGCCATTTTAGGTGGCTCACTTTCTCATTAAGATATATATATAGAACCACTTTTTGTAGATTAGTATAAGAAAAATATTTACCCTGTTTTGGGGCAAATGCTACCTATTTGTGTCACCTTTTGCTGAACTGACTCACAGTTAGACAATCCATGGTTTAATGCACATGAAATTACCTATATTTTATACTGTTTCAATGTACAGGAGGAAGGTTACTGTAAACTGTGTTGCGTTGGTGCTTCTGTGAATTAAGTTGTGGTTTCATCATGAGTCTTATGGTCTTAATGTTCTTTGTTGATAAGACAAGTTTAGAATTGGTTTGCTTAAAAAAGAATTTCAAAAAAAAAAAAGTTTGCTTAAAAAATTTCATGTGAGGGGGAAAAAAATACCTATTCCAGAATAAGTTTTGTGTTGGCTTGTAAAGCATTGATGTCATTTTTTTTTTTTTATTGTGGACTATTTAGATGTGTTTGTGTTCAGCAAAATGTGATTTTTTTTTCTTTTAAAGAAAAAAGTGAAACTACATAGTGCCAAATTCCAAAGGTACTTCCTTCCTAGAGCTTCAGTGTGTTTCTTGTGAGAAGTAATTTGATAACATGGGTATTTTATTATGTGTTTTGTATAAATCCCTAATATTTAAAAAACAAAAAACAAAAAAAAAGAGGTTAAAAAGTTTGTTAACTTGCTATCCTGTGGTCTTGTTGCCTGAAATTGTTATTGTTCGTTATTTCTCTATGATGTTTTTTGTAAGACATTGTATAAGTGCCCATGTCTCACTTTTTTAACCACTCTGCACATCAATGCTGTGACGGCAACCTCACAATGTATTTTCTTCATTATATATGGAAACCTCTAAGGTGAGAAAGTTTTGAACTTTTAACCCTTTCTACCCAGAGCTATCTGGAATGTTGATAACTTTTATACTGTCATGATTTTAGTTTGTTTTGGGTTTTGGATTTTTTTTGTCATCACACATATCTCCTCTGAGTTGTTTTTTTGTCCTTACTACTTTAACCCTTTGGTTGAGATCCAAAAGAAAAACTCCACAAGGCACATCTAAAGGAAAAATATATACTTTAACCCTAATTTTTCTCCTATACCATTTTTTACTTTTGATTATTTCTGGTCATTTAAAAAAAAGTTCTGAATGTGCTGCTGGAATTCCTTCTTCAGTTTTAAACAGTTTACTCGATAATCCTGCTGAGGGGGATGGTTAATAGATTCAGCACCTAAATAAACTTTAAATTCTATATGCTTTTGAGATCAGGTTTAGTGGTATGGTCTAGTTTAGGATATTTTCATATACCTTCCAGTTAAATGACTTTGTGATTGGGTGGTATTTTTGCTTTTGTTTCTTAAATACTCCTAATTAATATTTCTAATCAGCCATGTGCTGGGGATTCTCTGACCCCAGCAAGGCCTCAAACAGCAAGGTGTCTGGAGTTAGAAGCTGATGATAGTCTTCGTCTTTATTTTAATTGAATGCATGTACTGACCATACAAGTAAAACTCAGTTCTTTATCACGGTTACTGACCAAATATCTAGCATCGGTTCCTGCTGCCACTTTTTAAAGTGCCATATTACTTTGATTTCCTGTGAACAGATAGATCTCTTGCTGTCTTGACAAATCCCAGTGTTATCCCTACAGCCCCCGCCCCCCGCCCACCCCTGAAGTCCTGCCTTCCTGAAAGCAGGCCCTGGAAGCTTCTTTGTCTCTAATGGCGTTCAGAAATTGCTGACTCCTTTTGTCCTCGTCCCGGTCACCACCCTGCTTGGTTCAATGTGTGTGGATGTGATAGCCCTGGGATGGAAAGAACTAGCCTCTAATGATGCAAAAAAAAAAAAAAAAAAATAGCCCTTCTTATAGCACATGCACTTATAATGAAATGATTTGTATTATCCTCACACGTGTTTACTACTGCTGGGGCCTTCCTTCATCCTTTGAGGGCTATTTTGTACTTCCTGCAGCAATCAGCTGAAAAGTTATCACACGTCTCATATATAGTATATGGTGGTGTGTAGAAAGCATGCATAGGGACGCAAGAGAACACCATTTGAATTAGATTGTTTTGTTCTGAATCTCTTACCAATTTCTACATAGACCTCAAGAAACACTTTCCACTTTCTTCACGGAAGCAAACTGCCCTCTTTTCCTTTCACCCACCTGCAGAAGAACTGAGTGCAGTTGACAAGAGGCTCAGGGCGGCACTTTAAGTTGAGTGGTTCTTATTTTGCAGGCAACCAAGACATTCAGGGGGAACGTTTTTTTCCCCCCCCCCATAAAAGTTTCATTGTTATAACGATAACCCTTCTCAGAGACAAGCTGTCCTTCTAGTCACTTTATCTTTTACTATCAAAAGGAAAAAGCTGCAAGGGTGCAAAGGGCCTGTGCCAGAAGAAAAAACACACAGGGAAACTGCTTTTTTTAAAAATCAAATGTATAGTCATTTTTAAACTAAATTAGAGAACTGTGATAAAATGGCAGTCCTCAAGGCGTAACAAGTTCATCTTTCTTTCACCATAGGGGTTCTAGTTCTTTGGCTTGTGCTACTCTGGACTCATTTTACTGTTTGTTTTTATTATCTTAAGTGCTAATTAACAAGAAATAAAATTTTAAAAAAAACCTGTAGTTTCATTACCTTTTTAAATAATGTCATACAAAAAATGTATTTGTGTTTTTTTGTGCTGTGAGAATGTTTGTAGATTAATATCATTTTGTTTAGAATTACAAAATAGTTTTTAAATATTGTCTGAGAAAAGCCAAAGTTAATGCAACCTAGTGGAAACTGTAAGACCATTTGAGTATTGTTTGTTTTATTGATGCATTCGGATTTTGTTGTTTGATGGAATTTGAGCCAAAAAAAAAAAAAAAATACACAGGCTTTCCTATTTCTACAACTGATTGTACTTATGCATTTTGTACCAGTGGAACTTTTTATACTGGAGATTTAAAAAATGGAAATTTTTGTGGCTTACTCTAGTGGGCCCCCTGACAATGACTGATTTCAAGTTTGATTTCTGGTTGATAGAAAGAAAGTTGCTTTTCTTTTGAGAATTAAAAACTTTGGCTTGATTTCTTTTTTCCCTTTGCTTATATCTAGCATTAGAATTTTGTCTTAAAATACAGCGGTAAGTTTCACTTTTTTATTCTGTATTGTGCAATTACACAATAAGGTAATTAGATTTAGAAGTACTCAGTCACTTTAAGTGGATAAATGTATTAGTTAAAACTTTAGGGGTTTGCTTTTTTGCTGTTTAGATCAAAGTTTTTTCTGATTCTTCTGTCCTCATTGTGAACATAACCGTGTAGTTGAAACAGTCAAACTTATTTTTGTAACGTATGTTATTGTGTGATGCAGTTTTTTGCTTCTGTCTCCAATATTAAACCATTTTCCTAATACTTGTCTCTCTCTCTGCGTGTTGTATTGTTGGTAGTCATTATATGTTGGTGATACATCTACACACCTCACTGTTTCACGTATCTGTTTTTTTTCTATATGTTGTGTAAAAAGATACAGTCGATTCCACCTAAGTGAATATCTGATTTGGGGGAAGGGGAAACTGCACACCACCCACCTCTGCTTTACATACAATAGCCCGTTTTAAGCACTGCTTCTTAGATTTATACTTGTTTCTGTGATTCACCTGAATAACTACCTACAGAGTTGGATTTGCCGAGACCTCTTAGGGTCTTTTGCCTACACTGGTAAATTCCGCCCTCACATCTCTCCCCTCTCCCCCGTCACGGTGCATGTATGCAGTGCTTGACGGTCATTTAAAACTGCTGCTGCTTTGCTGCATAACCTTAAGAAGAGAAGCAGCAGAACTATCTACCCACAAGTCCAAAGGCACAACATCACAGTCAAAGTCGCCATAGAAACTAATCACATTCCTAAAAGAGGTGCACTAGCAAGGGCAGAAAAAATAAACTTACATGGTGAATAGAAGCTGTGAAAAGAGTTAAGTATCTGTTGCCATCAATCGAGAGAGATGTACACAAAAGTAATTTACATTATGTATTTTTAGAGCTACCTGAAGCCTGCAGGGACTTTTAATTATTAAAACCAATGGAAGAAAAAAAATATTTCCAAGAGCTCAGATGGAAGCCCTACTCCATCGGGTAGGGTGGGAGGAGGAAGTTTCTCTGCTCTCTAGTCCACTGCTAGTCTATTTCCAAATGAAAGCCAAGAATGCCCTAGGCAGCCCAGCTCCCTCCTGAATGAAGGCATACTTTTTAAAAAGCCTTGTCCCCACTCTCACCCCACCCCACTTATCAAAAGGAGAGCTAACGAAAAAAAACAATCGCTTCTATGCCCTCTCAAACTGAAGACACGGGCCCTCCCGTTTCTGCCCATGGCTTATGCTCAGGAATCTGACTGCTCTCCAAGTGCTCTTAAGAGATTCCATTGATGTTCGCTCCCTGTCTTCTCTCCTCCCAACTCTGCAGACGCACAAGCTCTGACTCAGGCCACCCGGCACTGGGCAGCTTTCCTCCAGCTGCCAATGAGGTTTTCCCTGCAGGTGCCCCCTGCAGGATGTCCGCCACCCTCTGGTTTCAGCCCTTCTGACCCCTAGATTGTCTTGTCCAGTCAGCTCAACAACAGAGGGCCTGGAGAGGTGGAGGTAAGGAGGCTCTTTTCCCCCATAGGCCAAACACCTCAGTGAAGTGACTTCCACCAGCTCCAAACCTGCACAGATGGCAGCTGACCTCCTGCCAATACTTCTATTGTAAATCTCATCATAGCCTTCATCGGTTTGCCTCTGAAAACCCACAGCTTACATTAGTGGGAAAAGATGGCCAAGGGTTTGATATTTTGCGGGGTGGGGGGTGAGAGGGAGGGGAGAAGGGGGAAAAGAGGGTAAGCAATACCAAGATGCAAGTGTTTATTTTTAAAATGTGTATGTGTGTATATGTATGTGTATATATATATGTATATATATGTGTGTGTATATATACACACACACATAATTTCCACCACTTGCCACAAGGCAAAATACTCATGCTAAGTAAAAGAAGGGAAAGACAGCCAGTTTTTTTTTTGGTGGTGGTTCTGGAGAAACAAAATAATTCTCCAAAGAAGGGAACAAAAATGCAAGTTCCCTTAAGCACTGACTGTAAAGTTGGTCCCTGCCTGAACTCGAGCTTATCGTTCTGACTGGAAAACATCGCTGCAGTGCCAGCAAGGTGTATCTGTGCCACGCACGGACCACCTCGGGAAATTACAGGACTGTCAGCGTTTACCTTGGTGATGGGAGCCACCCGTCTGCCCAGCCCGCAGCAGTTATGAGCATGGGCTGGGACTCTTAGCTGGCAGGCCAGGAAACACGGTGAGCGTAAATGTGCTGTGAATCGTTCCTGATAAGTGAATAAAACATTGTGGCCAATCAGCTTATTCACTTATCAGGAATCGACTGTTCTGCTAATTCGCTGTTTTTGTTTTTCATCTCCGTTGTAGTTCACTATTCTTGCTGTGTTCTGTTTTCTCCTCTCATGCTTGGGCAAAATCACTGGGAATATTATCTTCATGTGACCATGAAACGTTTATATCGAGTGAAAATGATATCTTAACAAAATCTATGCACTTGCTATCAGGAACACAATACTGGATGTGTCTTATATATATTGAACTATATAGTACTCGATTTCTTAAATAAAGCTTAAGAAAGGACTCTGTTGTGTGTAATGTTAATGTGATTATTTTTGAAAGCAGTGTTTCTAAGGGGTATTTTTGTTCTTTTAAGTCTTGAGTGATACAGGATATTTTTCATTAAAATTCTATCACTTGCTTTATGACTTAATATTCAATAAATTACCTTTGGAAACAAAATGGAGTGGGGGGAAGTTCTTCTGAGTGCATTTTAGCAAGAGACATCTGGAAAAACCATCCCTTACTGGCGTCCATGGCAAACCTCTACGCAGGGCGCTGTGGGTGGCAGAACAGAGCAATCCCCGTCCCGCCAAAAGACCCCTGGAAAGCGTCCAGAATCTGTCCTAACCTAGAAAACCCAACTGCTTTTCTGAATATGATCTATTTAGGCTCAGAAGAAAGAAAAAGGCATATCCAAGAATAATGCTGGTTTGTATCAATGCTTTTCCTAAACGACGTGACCCTGAAACCTCCCTGCTGGAGAGCAATGGCGGTCCTACTCAGGACCGCAAGATGAGAGAAAGCCAGAGAAGGTGTTTGATCATTCAGGATGAGAAGGGCAAAGTTTCAAAGCGGTCTGTGAGGCAGACATGCTATGACAGTTGCAAAGCTTAAATGGGAGCCTGTCGCTTGGCCCTTTGAAGGAGTATTTTTGAAATTTTTCCTACCGGCCATAAGTTTGAACAGCATGACATTTTCTGTTGGATCTTCTAGCTTTGAGGTTTTATATTAGATTTGTTTTTCTTGCTTAATGTTTGATTCTAAGAAAAAACTCCTAAACTTCTTGCAAAATGGCACAGGCAACCTAATCCTTCATAAAACAAATCTTAGTCATCCCTGATAATGAGGGACAGAGGAAGCACGGTTAATGAAAATACACAGAAACATCCAGTCTCTGCCCGCTCCCACCCCAAACCCCCTCCTCACAAGTTTGTCAACAAAAACTAGTAAAAGCAGGGCTCAGAGAAAGAGCCAACGGTAGCGAAATCAGCGGGTCCAGACACACTGCATTTGCCAGAGCCATGCAGCTGGGGGTTGAAGGGACAGGTTCTGTTTGTTTCATTTTTTAAGTTTAACAATTTGAAAGCCACTGATCAACACGCACTGGGCTCAAGTGGCAAGGAGTTGGCTGCAAATGGAGGTGCCCTAGGAAGTAGCTTTTCAAAGTCTTGCCTCGAGCATCAGTCCCATAGCTAGAAAGCATCTTCTTTTATAAAAAGAACACATCCAAGGCAATAATGGGTAGGAGGGCTCTGAGCCTCAGTCAGGGAAGAATGAAAACCAACGTATTCCCCTCGCAGTCTGCAGCCCCTATTCAGTCATCCCCCACCACTGACTTCATCAGCCGGGAGCCACGTGATGATAGACCCAGCTCAGAGGGTGGCTTGGCCCGTCAGACGGGAGCTGCTCTGGGGAGAATGCTACGCTTCCTCTAACCCTTCTCTACAGAGCAGCAAAGCAGCCCTGAACCAGCTTCCACCTGCCTACATTCAGAGGGTATTTTAAATAAAAATATATAAATGCATATTAAAGATGTCATATGTTAAATACATAAACATAACAAACATATTGTGTTCTGCAACTGAAATCCCAAATAAGAATCTCCAGTTGTGAGACACAATGATGCTTCTATCAAGAGGCTGGAGCTAAGATGTAGAAGGCACCTAGCAGCGTTCTTCAGTGGGCCACACTGCCTCGGTCTGGATGCCTGCTCTACCGCTAATGCGCACGTAACCGTTCTGTGCCTTAACTTCCTCACTGGCAAAATGGGGGCTAAACATAATACCTACTGCACAGGGTTGTCACGAAGATTAACTAAGCCCACGCACACAGAGCACCTGGACCAGGTTATCACACTATAAGTACTCGGCACAGTTACCAGTCGGTAGCAGTGGCAGTGACTGCTGACATGGTCAGCTGAGTCTCCCTCTTCTGGCCTGGCCCATTACTTTCTCCTGCCAGGTGTCCTCTCAGCCATCCCTGTCTCCCTTGGCTCCTTGGAGAACTATGGACAAAGTCTGACCAGAAATCACAACTCCTCCAGCAGATCTCTGCACTGACAAGTTCCAGAACAAGCTAATCCCCCATGAGAAACCACAGCCTGGAGACATGCCCACCCTATAGGCTAGCACGCCCGCACGGTCCTGCCCCAAGTCAGCACCAACAACCAACGCCACTCACTGAGACGGAGACCGAATCCTCACTTCCTACCTCAAAGTTTCATACTTGGGTATCTCTCCCCCAAAAGAAACGCCTAGCTGTGTCTGGGTTCTAGGTGGGAATGACAAAATCACCTGGGGAGCTGCCTGTCCGAGCCTGTAGGTTCCATGCCCTTCCTAGGCAGAGCTGTGTCCTCAGCAGCGACCACCCTGGGAAAGATAGTGGTCAGAGCTCAAAGGCCTGCAAACAGCCAAGCAGCGAGCTGTCTAGATCACCAGCCCATCCTCACCCCACCCCCAATTTAACCAATGGTCCATGTAGACTCTAGAAAAACAATTTTGCTACTAAAAGCACAAAGATTAAAAACAGCTGCTTTAAAAGAGGGTCTCAGAGAAGTTCGCCATGATCTAAGCTTTGTGACAAACATTTATTCTTTGGAATCATTCTCTCCTTCCCTTGTCTCTCTGCCCCTCCCACATTCTCACCGTTCTGTCTGCGATGCATCATAACCTTCATTGTGCTCTGTTTACATGTTGCTTATGTCTGTCTCCCAAGCCCTAGAATGTGAGCTCTTTGAAGGAAGCGACTATGT